AAATTAAACACTATCTAAAGATTTGCATCGAAGCGTTTATTTTTGATAGTGATTTTAATCACTGTCAGATATCATTATACTTGATCCAACTATGCCACGTCACCACTGTGCCGCGACCCCCCTGTGCTGGGTTTTTTTTACTTTATAATGCTATAACTTATTGAAAAGTGTATGGATCAACACAATTTTTTTATGAGAAATAATATTTTTTAATAATCTCTTTTTCATTCGAAATACTTTATCTTAATCAAGATATTAATAAGGAACTAGCAGATCATGTAGCTTTTGGAATAATACACCAATTTTTTTAAATTAAACACTATCTAAAGATTTGCATCGAAGCGTTTATTTTTGATAGTAATTTTAATCACTGTCAGATATCATTATACTTGATCCAACTATGCCACGTCACCACTGTGCCGCGACCCCCCTGTGCTGGGTTTTTTTACTTTAAAGTGTTATAACTTTTTAAAAAATGTATGGATCAATACAATTTTTTCATTGAGAAGTAGTATTTATATACATCTTTCATTGGATATTCTTTGTAAGAATGCGTCAAAACGCTTGTAGTATGCACATGAATGGCGTACGCGTTTTTAAAAACGCGGCGTTTTGAACGCGAACGCCGTTCATGTGCATACTGCAAGCGTTTTGACGCGTTTTTACAAAGAAAATTAGCCCGCCAAAAGCTACAGTATAATCATAACAGATTCCTCGAGATAGCATTTGTTCTTAATATTTTTTTATTTTTTAAAGTATAAAATAAGTTAAAATAAGTATGGATACATTAGATGATGTAGAAGTTGGATGCGTTGTATACGCCATGTATCTACGCTGTACAAAAAAACATAAAATAAATAAAAAAACAATTATTCGTAAACATTGGGTTCACCCCCTAAATTTAAAAAGACCTTGAGAAGGTCAATTTCAAGTTAATTTTTTAACTTTGAGGAGTTATCCTGAAGAATTCTTCAGGTACTACCGTATGTCTATACGCTCGTTTGATGAATTGGTAAGTTGAGTTATTTACTGTATTTTAAAATCATTAACTATAACATAAAAAAAAACATTCATTAATTTGAACAATGCAGGTTTATATTCAAGGGCGTCATTATGAGGGAGGAATACCTCATATAATAATAATTACCCTGTGAAAATCCAATTTTTTGAGGGGGGAAATAAACAATTTTATTTGTACATTCCCTCAAGACTGAGTACTCAGTACATCACGACTAATACTGACATGTATTTGAAATAGTATTTTCATTAAATCCATTCTTTTATTTTAGGGTGTATTATTATTTTTAAGCTTATACTTTACAATATAAATATTATATATTTATTATTTTTCTATGGTATACGTTTATTAAAACAATTGTTAATAAGTATACCGCAAATACCCCCAAAAACACCACTTCGTGTACAATTGTGTAATAATATAATTAAACTTTGTATGCTAGAAAGATTTTTAATTCATTACTTTACAATCATTAATTTAAATCAATAACATAATTCAACACTAGTTTGTTCAATTTTTAAGTTTTTTAGTTATTATCTTACACCTACAGAACAAAATATATTCAAAAATAGTTTTTGTTTGTTTTATAAAAAAAACATTTTATTTTAATTTTACTACTAGAGCTAAATATATATAATATTTACCATAAAAAGGCCAATTATATATTTCCTGGATGATTATAAAACATTAAAACACACATTTATTAACTATAATTTTTTTATGGTAAATGGAGTATTTGTAAACATCGCAAAAAGACTGACGAACTTTAAACATAATTAACAAATTATATTTCTAGGTCATTGAATTTTGTAAAAAAATTAAATTTTATATTTTTATTTTAAAGAAATTTACATTAAACCCAATTAATCAGGAAAAGTTTGTAAGAAATTTAAAAAACTCAAAAATAATTTTACCGATATCATTTATGAAAGAAAAATTGTTTACTTAAATATTTATATTCAAATTTATGTTTGTTAATTTGGTTCAAAATGCCAGTCTTTTTTACAATAATCCCTATTCACAGTTAATAAATATGTGTTTCAAAAAAGATTTTAAATTATTTTGTTAAGTATTTTAAGTAATGTAATGGATAAAATAATTAAATAAAATCTCATATAATATTAAATTAAAAAAAATATATGAATTATCTAAAATTTAAAGATTCTATTAGTTGGATCAAAACTTCAAAAAGAGGATACTTGTTTAAGATTATCAATATCACCAGAAGAGCGACTTACAGTTACATTGAGGTAAAAAAAAAAAAAAAAAAATTGTAATGTAAATTTTATTTTAAATTTTCAAATTAATATCTAGTAAATGTGTTTGGTGTTTGTAAGTGAGAAGTAGTTGAGTTTAATGGTGTGTCGGATCTTGGATCTACAACAGGCGGTGAAGGGGGCATCATATTTATAATGGTTTTTTGAAAAGTTGATGGAATATCTTTTGAAGGGAGATAATTTTGGAAATTTGAATATTGAGTGTTCTGTGAGAAGGAAGATGAAGAGCTAGGGGATGAACTATGAGGAGTCGACATTTGAAAATTATTAGTATTGCTTAAACCATGTGGTTGTTGATAATAATAAGCAACTTGATGATTACCTAAATTAGCTCTTTGGATAGTTCTTAATATGTCAATATACAATTGAGATTTCTGGTCTTCGGGAATTTTTTTGATTTGTGGTAGTAAGGAAAGAAGAAATAGTTTATCAGGATCATTTTCCTCGGGTTTTCTGTTTTGTAAGAAAGATACAAGGTGATTTTCCAAGTCTTTTGATTGATGTCCTTCTTCCAAGTTCTTCTTTTGACGTTTCACTGTTTTAGGTATAACATTTGACTCTTGAACAGTTATACTATTTTTTGATTCAACATTGTCTTTTACAATGACGCCTTCTCCATCATCAGTCGAGTATTCTTCCATATTTATTTCATCATTATCACTTTCATTATATTCATTTTCTTGTGTAAAATTACTTTCTGTTCTACAAATTGAATATAAAATCATGTTACGTTTGTTATTTCAAATATCTTGAAGTAAAATTTATGATAAATTTTGATAGCGATTTACAATATTAATCACTTATTTATTTAAAAGCAATAGCAAAAAAAAAAATCTTACTCTCGATTTGTCATAGTAGGACGTAAGAATTCCAAAATATCCCTATATGCGTATTTAGTTTTGCTTGATCTTGCCTGACCTGATTTTGAAACACATTTTCTTCTGAAACTATCTCTGAGGGATTTCCATTTAGTGTTTAAACCTTTTACTGCAATTAAATTAAAACAATTGGAATTACTTTTTGACATAATAGTCCAACTTTTTTAACTAGAAAATTATGAAAATAGTATATTTCCTTAGGAATTATTATTTTTTTCTTTCTCAGATATTTAGCAACGGGAACAAACTTTTCAGCTCTTCATTTTGATTTTTTAATGGGTGTTTCAACCATAAGAAACATTATACGAGAGACTTGTGAGATACTTTGGTCAGAGTTACAACCTGTAGAAATGGCTGTACCGAGCACCGAAGATTGGCTAATCATCGCTGATGGTTTTTATAAAAAAACACAATTTCCTAATTGCATTGGTGCAGTAGATGGGAAACATGTTCGCATTGAATGCCCCAAGAAGAGTGGAACCCTATACTTTAATTACAAAAATTTTTATTCTATTGTACTTCTTGCTGTTTGTGACGCCAACTATTGTTTCCGAATTATTGACGTAGGATCTTTTGGAAAAGATAGCGACTGTAATATCTTTAAAAATTCAGCATTCGGTAAAAAACTCTACGCGAATCAAATCAATTTCCCATCTGAAAATGTATTACCCGAAGACAAAAAAGGAACACCCCAACCTTACGTAATTGTTGGAGATGAAGCTTTTGCTTTAAACAAACATTTGTTGAGGCCTTTTCCAGGAAAATCGTTAAATAACGAAAGGAGGATTTTTAATTATCGTTTATCAAGAGCTCGGCAAAATATTGAGTGCTCGTTTGGAATCCTTGCAAACAAATGGAGGATATTCCATACATCTATATTGGCTTCTCCGGATTTCGCAATAAAAATAACAAAGGCAGCATGTGTTCTACATAATTTTGTGCGACGCAGAGATGGATATAATTCCGAAGATACCCTTAACTGTAAAATGGAAGATTTTAATGAAAAAAAAGGTGTTGGAAACGCGCCATCAGAAGCAAAAGAAGTTAGAGAATATTATGTCAGATACGTCAACTCAGTGGAACATTCTTTAAGTTGGCAAAATAAAGTTATAGGTTAAGTATATCTATATAATTTTTATACAACAGCGATTTTCACTAAATTTCAACATTTTATAAATTAAAATTATGCAAAGAAAAAATATATTAAATGTTTTCTTACTCTTGGTATGTTTTGTTTTCTCGTCCAAATCCACGAAATTTGGAACAAAACTTGTAGCTATTTTGCACCAGCTAACATATTTTGCAATTTTATCGCGATACTCTTTGGATTCTTAAAAATACACCGATAAAAAGTTTTATTTACAAATAATAATTATTATTACTTAAATTATTAAATTATTGAAAAAAACTACCCAAATACTTTTCTCAAAAAGTTTATAAAATACTATTTATATACTTTTATGCACACAAACTTTTGTTATAATCTCCACAGAAATTAAAAAATTTGTTATAAAAAATGTTATTTTATATGATAAATTTTATCTTATAAAATATGATCTATTATAATATGACAAGTTTGAATGTATTTAAAAAAGTATTAAATATTCGTTAATAATGTGGACTTTGACTCATTGAAATAATTTAGTCGGCAAATTTATCACTAACAGTTGGCAAAATTCAATCCACACCCTCCTTAAAATTATCTGTAGGACCGCCCTTGTTGAAATCAAAATAATATATTAAAACTACGACAATGTTTGCTAAAATAGCTATGTTATAAAGATATTATGTATTGTGAATATAATTTAAAAAGACTAAGGTGGTCCTAATTATAAAAAAATAGGTATTCATAGGAATGTAAAAAACATTTAAATTTTTTTTTGTGGCTGTTACCATTTTTTATCAGCCCCACTTGACTGATATTGCTTAACGGCTAGTCAAAAGATCACACAATGTTTCTAGTTGAAACTATAAATTTACTTGATCAACTAATTTTAAACAATTAATAAAACGTATAAGAACTGCATATACATAATATGAACCCATAAATTTGTCCATTTTTTTTAAATTATATAAATCCTTCCCACGAAAAAGTTAAAATAAAAAATTTCAAATAAAATGTTCGACAAAATTTAATTTTTATGATTTATATTATTTGAAGTAATTCCATAATGAGTTCCTATGTAAAACTATACATATATACTAATAATAATATTTTCCCCTATTAATATTTAATTTTAAAGTATACAGTACTTATATAAATTGAAATGTATTAAGCTAATACATATGATCGTATTAATTTTATTAACATATATATATATATATATATTCATGTACTCTATTTAATACTTACCTGTATTCCAAATTGACTCTTCCAAATATATGGAATTAATAAAATTTTCTGTGTCAAAAGACATGATAGATAGAAGACACAAAAGGAAATGAATCCAAAATAATACGTAAAAATAGATTGAATGAACCCTCATGTGGCCGGAAATCGCCCCTTGTGAATGATAACATGCGATTTGTATTGTTTAATTTTAGCGATCGGTCGCGTCCGATCGCCCAAAATCAAACCTGCGCGATCGGTCGCGTCCGAACGCATGTTTTTACTCATAGTGTGCATGGTTCAATTTAAATGCGGGTGTTTTATATAAAGCGATTAATCGCCGCGTTTTTAAAAACGCGTACGCGCGCGGTTAAACGCCTAGTGTGTAAGCTTCTATATCATTGTTAAACGAATTTATCATTTCAAAATATCACCATCTATACGCTATAAAGTATTAATAGTATATACATTTATATAATCTGTGGTAGAAGTAACATAGATAATGCTATTGTTAACAATCTTTGGCTTGTGCGATATATTGACTATAATAATATCATTACACTATTTCAACGAATTCTATATTTAGCTGTGGAATACTTATCAGCTCGTTATCAATGTTAATTTGCACCATCACTACACGGAGAAATAAATCTGTATTGTAGAAGATCTGTTTTCTTTTTTTTACTTTTATATTAATTTGTTAATAAAATAATGAATTCAAAATTATTTTTTATCTTTAAACTAAAAAATCCTGAAACAGCGGTGACTTCTAATCAAATAAGTAAAAGTCATATTACATAAATTATTCTATTGTTGGACTTATTACGTATAGTCTTTTCACTTTTTATATTTTAAAATTTTCTTTTAGGCATCCAGCTTGAATATTGCTAATAGTAACGTAACAAATAAATTGGTTATCGTTACTAAAGATAAATAAAATAAACCTATATATGAGATTACTTCTATAGGCAACTCGAAATTTGATTTAGATGATTTACAGTCTGGTCCAAAAAGATCCATATTAAAGGTAAATCATGTATAAAACTGACAACATAATATTTACATTGTATGTTAAGTATATATTTTAATTGCTATTAAGCCTATTATAGGAACAGTGTACTTATATGAATCTTTGGCATTGGTTATTCGTCATCTTCCCGGCGGTTGTCAGTAGTTGTTACACGAATCAAAAGGATATAAATATTTGGATTTTGTTAGTTACATATGTATCTCTATACACCTGTTATGAAATAATTTTTAGGTCCATTCTTTATATATTATACAGGAGTGTCAAATTTATTTATTTAAATGGCAGCATACATATTAAACTAGTTTATAATATAGAATATTATCTAATTAAGAAAATAACTATCGACAATAACTTTTGGATTAATACTTTGAAAGTTATTAGAATTTTAAAATATAGTACTGATGGTGAAGCGTAGTTACTGCTATTTTTATCATTATTTATTCTTTGGTCACATTTCTTCTGCCACCTAAGTACAAAAATTAGAATATCTTCCAAAGCACTGGTCTAAAAGTTCTTGTTTTAAATTACAAATACCATTTCCATTAACATAACCATGGCTTCATTTTATGAGGTTAAATATTTTTGTGTATGGTATAATTATTGTTCAAAAATTAACATTTATTATTTGTTTTTTGTATTTATTAATTATGTGGGTCTAGAGTTCTTACAAATGTAAAACCAACAAAACTGGATGATGATGCTATTATTATATTACAAAAACTCATTTAACTCTTATTCCAAAATAGACAAGACATTATAACGTAACTGTCAAAAAAACTGACACTATTCATACCCAGCTAATAAGTCAATCTAAACTAGAATTTGCCCCAAATAGGTAATATATGAAAAGTCTAATTGATATGACAATTTTTTGAGTATTCAAAGATTGACTTGACACAATGAAAACAGATCATCATTAAATCAAGGTAGGGAACTAATTTAAATGATCTAATCAAGTAATGAAAACTGTGAAGATAAAATAATTAATTTCTTATTAAATAATTTTTCTTAGGGAATTTCAACAAAACCTGTGTTTTATTTTCTAAGCATATACCCATATTTTCTGAAATATTTAACAAAGAAACAAATTACACTAGTCACCATATTCAAAATGAAATAATTGAAATATGTGCAAATAGCGAAAAAGAGTAAATAGTATAATGTGTGATGAAGCAAGGTAATAAATTCAAAAATCAGCATTGATAAAAAAATGTATAATTAATAAACACTAATATTACTATTAAACTTTTGCTTTAGTTTTAGATTTTATAAAGAAGTACAAGTGTTTAATTTTTATTTGAAACTTATAAATTAAATACTAAAGCTCAAATAATTTTACAATCCTATAATAATGGTTGGAATTTCTGTGGAAATATCATGTCTGGAAATTTAATGGAGTCAATCAAGAATAAGAATTGGTATGCTTTATAGAATAAATCTTTTGGTTGCAGATAGGTGCAAAATGTTTAAAGTAAAAACCAATATTAATAAAGTATGTTTGTTTTATTAAAATAATCAAATTTTATTTTGTAATAATTAAAATATTTTAGGAAACCTTAAGTTTTTTTAACTTGATTAAATGTATTTACATTCATTTTTTACCATGGTTAGTAAGAAAGAAAGCTAAAAATGTAATTCGTTTATCGTTTTTATTTTATAACTCTGTAAATAACATCGATAATGATTAAAGATCGATAATAGATCGGTAAACTTTTAATAACACTAATTATATAAATGTTGTTTCTGCTAAAAAATATAAATATCTTTAAAGTAATTAATACTGGCTAATTGTTAATGTTTATAGTTGTTATAATAGTAAAGTATTTTTGATAATTCAAATTTAAAATTACCATGGAAACAAATACACAGACATTTTCTTAGTAAATTCGATTTTTTTAATACTTTGAAATTAACTGAAATTTTTATTTTCGTGTTTATTATAATAATAATGAATAATTAAATTTGTTTTTATTATTTATCTTTTAAACATTAACTATATTTACAAGTAATCAATGTGTTATGGGAAATTATTTTATACTATATACAGTGATGCAATTTTTTTTAGAAATCGAATACAATTTTTAATAATAACACAATGCAGTAAGATGAACATTACTTGTTGTTGAGCTTTCAGACTAATGACAGTCATAAAATATATTTATTAAAATATTATTTTGACACGTATGAAATTTCAATAATGACCAACAACAGAAATTTATCAAGGTAATTTTTACATTTTATTAATTAAACATTTTCCAGACAAATATATAACATTCTATTTATGTAAATTTACAATAGTTAAATTTTTGGAAACGCTAATTATTTACTTTGAGTTTAAATAATTAAAACTGTTTATTTATCATGAATTGTTTCATTTTATTTAATTTGTTTAACTCACTAATTTTTGTTCTATAATTTATTTTGCATATTAGTACGAGTAGTAGCGCTTACCAAATAATAATACTTTTCAAGGAGGGTTAAAAATAATGTTACAAATGAATTATTCAATGGTAATGATTAAATTTTATTAAAAGTTATTATTTTTTAATTAAAAACATTTGGAAAATGATGTATAAATTCAATGATGTACAATTATATTTTTTTATTTTAGTAATATTTGAATAAAACAGTTTGGACATTGCTAAATTAGTAGTTTTAGTGATTAATTTTTGTGACATTATCAAAAATCTGATACGTACCCACAATTATATTATATTATAGTCAAGTTTTAGCTTTTATTAGATACATATATTTCTTTAATAAACCTTAGCTGAATTTTTTTCTGTATACTTATAATAATAATAAATTTATTATTTTGTTTTTTATTATAATAAACCTTTTAATATATTCTTAACTTGGTTGAATGTAGTTCAGAAAAATTGTAAGAATAGTATATCAAAATTATTAAATTCTAATTATTAATTATTAAATTTTAATAATTCTATATTTGAACTCTAGAACTATTAGCTATATAATAATTTTTAAGTTCATCTATAATGCCTTGTATGTACATCAACATTTTTTTTTTTCTAATAAGAATACATATTTTGCATTAAATGAAATGTTTGCAGTTTTATTTTAATAGTATAACATTTTAATTTTTAACAAAACTTTATACGTTTATTTAATATTAACCGTTAAATTTTTAAATTCTTGATTTAATATACATGTATAATATATTTTCTTTTAATTATATTATTCTGTATTAATAAAAATGTTTTCCTAGAGGCATAGAAAAAGCGATATGCCTTTAATGACACTAGTCTTACAATATTGCCTTTGCTATTTAATATGAATAATTTTTATAATATAAGTACAATTAACATGAAAATAAATGACATTTAATACACATAGACATTTTCTACCTAAATTCGAGTTATTGTAAACGGATTAATTAATTAAATTAGCTTGAATTCAACGTTTTATGTTAAATTTTAAAAAGTGCAATTTGAATTGAAACATATTACAATAGTGATTTTTATTACTGTTAAATTTAAATGTAAACTGGTTTTCCATTTTGCGGAAACTTTTCTATAGGCACGTGTAGAATAAAATTTTAGTGAGTGTTATTATAATTATCTTACCCTAAAAATTATTATTATTTAAGAACACATTTATGTCCTACATTTTTTGTGAGGTCAATATCTCATAGCTTCTAATTGCGCCCATACAACTGTATGTATTAGATTTTTGGAATAATTTCACTTTAGACTTTCTATCCCCCACAAAAAATATTGAATACTCGAATTATTTTATACGAGATTTAATATTTTAAATGAAAAAAAATGATGGACATTTATTAATTGAAAATAATATTTGACTATATGAAATTTAAACAAAAAAGTTGGTTCTTTTATTAATTTTATTATCATAACCTATATATATATTATATTATATATAGAGTGTTCAGTAAGTAAGGAAACGGGTTTCTATTGTTCTTATTGTTTGAACTGGCATGTTTCCTTAATTACTAAATACTGTGTATATATATATATATATATATATATATATATATATATATATAT